TTTTATTTTGTTGTCAATTCCTATGTATTGTTACTGTCATCATATTACAAGCCATTTTTTCACGTCTGAGATTAATAAATACTGTTTCAAGCACATTTCGAAATCCCATCAACATATTTTTCCTTGGGAAATGCATCAAAGGAACTTCTATTAGTTCTTGAAGAAATGATCAATATTCTATTTCTGCCCAGGAAATCTCAGTTATTCAGTCACGTCTAGGAGCATCATAGTTCTCAATTATCAACAAGGAATCAATAACAAAAAGATGCCTGTTTCATGTACCTTTGGTTTGCCAGTTATACCAGGAAACAGAAACTCTTGAAATGACATTCCATTTCAATCTTCAGGATTGTCCCCCTTCAAGCCCGCGTTGCTTTCATGTCCATGGCCTCAATATTCTGGAACTTCTTCTTGTCCTCAACTCTGAGCAAGTGAATGCTGCAGAACTTATATCCATGGATGCCTATGTGATAGTTTGAGCATCAAGTATCAGTCGAAACATCATTTTACCATTCTATTTTCTTTTTGACGTCAGTACTTTATTTTACTAAGTTGGGTGGACAGTGTTTATCAAGATAGCACGGTTCTTAGGAAACAGTTCCTGAAGGTTCTTAAGATCTTTACATGGTGTTTTAGTGCCATCTGAGGAACGTCATTTACAAAAACACCAGCTCATTATTTGATCTCTGCCGCTGCACAGCAGATTCAATCTTTTTCAGTTTTTATTTCTTCCCCACAACTCGCATTGTATCATCACTAGAAGCCTGCGCTCTTCAAAATTCCAAACATCATTGCTAAATTGTAGATGATTTCAAACAATGTTTACATTTTTGGTGCAGCATGTTATGTGCTCTTAAAGACAGTTAGTGTTCATGTAAGGTGGTGTCCTTCAAATAGTAGAAGAGTCAGGTCTTGACGAAGTGTGATCCCTTTTCTAATTTGATGAAGATGGACAGATTATCGCTCGAGGGGGATAAAATGACTGAGAAAATACAACCGTTTGATAGGTAAAGATGGGAAGGAATTCAAATTTCATGTTAGTTGGAAAATTAAAATCTATCAGACCCATAGGAATTCGTAATGATGTCAATGGGCCGAGCCGGCCCGGCTCGGCCCTTAAAGCCACGAGCTCGGCTCATGGCTCGTGGAGAAACGAGCCACGAGCTCAGGAGCCGAGCCGGCTCGGCTCGTGGCTCGTTAATGGTTTTTTTTTTTTAAGCTTTTCTTAGCTTTTTTTT